GAGATACAGCGCGTTCAGCCGCATGTGTTGGACCCGGAATCGGACGAGGACTTTGAGGAGCACGAAGCTCAAGCACCGCGTCCACGTCAGCAGAACATTACTGATTGGTAAAGTATTAATAAACACTAGTAGGTAAACTTATTATATCGTGGACACTGCAGTGTAGAACAATTAAAATAGAATAGAATAGAAAGTCTTTCTTGTCATTATACAGCAGGGGTCTCAGACTCGAGGCCCGGGGGCCAACTGCGGCCCTCGGAAGGATTTTTTGCGGCTCTCCACTTAATTCCAAAAAATAATGTCAATGTGGCCCACGGTAGATGTACACACAATCCCACCCCTCTACTGCAGGCCACACTGACAGATGAAGCTGCAATCGGTGCCTGTGCAGATTCACAACAACAGATTATTAACACAGCTTACATCCCAAAACTCATTTTACTGCAGTTGTGAAACAAGGAGTCTAAGGCTACGTTCAGACTGCAGGGCTTAAAACTCAGTTCCAATTTGTATGTGATCCGCTGTGTGAACATTAAACGGCCTGAAAGTGTCCCACATGTGACACTGGAGACTCAAGGACGTCAACCGCAGCGAGCGTCTCTGTGTTTACGAAAGTTGGTCAAACATGGATGTGAGCATTGATCACCTGGAGATTTTAAAGTTCCTCTCGTACCGGAGCCAGAACATGAACAACTTACTTGTTTTAAGGAGGAGATTGAGAAGGAGAAGGACGAGGTTTTTGGCCGTGGCGTTTTATGGGGCAGTGGCAGCGACGTCCGTTGAAAGGAACGTGTGGATGTGGAGACGGAGCCAAGAGTGGTGAGTGGAGATGTGCTTCGCTTCAGTGACAAGGAGTTCATTAACAATTTTCACCTACTTCAGCACAGAATAGTGACGTTTGTGTCTTGTTGATAACGTGTAGGTGGATGAATGCACTTTGGCCGTTCAGACTGAAGTCACGTGTCAAAAGATCAGATATGTATCAGTTTCAGGAGCACATATCCAAGTGTCCTGGGTCACATTTGAAAAAATCGGATCTGTGTCGTTCAGACTGTCATTAAAAGATCAGATACAGGAACATAGAGGCCAAAAAATCGGATTTGGGTCACTTCAGGCTGCAGTCTGAACGAAGCCTAAGTGGATCTGTTAATACAAGTACACATGCACGTACGGCGTTTTTTTTTGTGCAACCACTATTTATCGAATACTCAATGCAGCCCAGCCTCACTCAGACTTTATCTAATGTGGCCCCTATGTAATTTGAGTTTGAGACCCCTGTTAAAGAGTATAATGAAATTCAGAGCTGCTCCGTCAAAGTGCAAGAATTAATTAATACATAAAACAAATAAACAGTTCTCATTAAGTATGGTGAGAGCTTTGGGGAAGAAGATGTCCCTGAGTCTGTTGGTCTGAGCTGGAATTGACCTGAAGCTCCTGCCAGAAGGCCACAGGTTGAAGAACCATTAAGAAGTTGAAGCTTATGCTGTCGCTTTTGTTTAAGTGTTTATGTGGGAATTGTCAGACGATGCGGGGCAGAGGAGGTGGAGCGGGGGAGGGGGCGGGTGTGAAGCTCTTTCTGCTACGTCAAACGCGTCATAGGTGTATCTGCCGCGTCGTCGTTGTAGCAGCTTTAGTTCGTCGTCACGTGGGAGGGTGGCAGAAATACGCTGCAATTGGTTAAAAAAAAAAAAAAAAAACGCCGAATCAATCTAAAAACCACTTGGGCGACAAATACATCACTCTGAGAAGGTAGAAAGCTCTGAAAAGTTGATTTTGCATGAGATGGGCCCTTTAAGACCAAATACTGGAATGAGTGGATGAGAGATCACAAGCTTTTTCAGAAGGTGCATGACCACATTGCAAACAAATATTTATCGTTCATTAGTCATTAAGGAGGTCTGTTATAATCATCTTATGTTCATTTAGAGGAACTGTATACACCCTGCGCTCTCACTGTTTATAAAAGGCACAAGCACAACTGAGCCTGTGTCCCCAGAGCCTCGTCCTGCAGATAAAGACACATCCAAGTTCGTCTCATTCTCAGTTTATGTTCAGGCCTCGTGTGAAGATCAGAACCTCCAGAAGGCTGCACTAGCACTGACTCAGGACCGGCTGCAGGTGCCGGGGTTTAGATAGAGAACATTAATGCGCTCGTCTCACAGCAAGAAGGTCCTGCGTCTGATTCTGGAGCTTTCTGTGTGGAGTTTGGATGTTCTTCTTATGCCTGTGTAGGTTTTCTCTGGGTCCTCTGGTTTCCTCTACCACTAAAAAATGTACAACAAACTCTGTTCACACTTAACAAAACTTCACACAAAAAAATTAAAAACAAAAAATAAATAAATAATAATAATAATAATAAATTAATCAAAATAAATAAATAAAACTAGAAAAGCAGTCAGAGAGCGCAGACCTCCGCCAAGGACTACCCCCATTTTTTATATAAATTGCGATAAAATCAGTCTTCTGGATCAGATCCGGATCAGCCTTTGGAATATGAAAGAGGATCCCATTGTCCATCCCTGAGTCCAATTTCATGGGGTTTGGTCAATAATTAACCCAGATATTGAGAAACAAAATTTTTGGCCCCATTTACCACAATGTTAACTAAAATTTCAAAGTGATCCAGAATCCAGGATTTCTTCCGGATCAGCCCCAAAATGAAATCAGTTCTTCCTTTTCACATTTCCAACAAATCCTGAAAATTTCATCAAAATCGGTCCATAACTTTTTGAGTTATGTTGCTAACAGACAAACAAACAAACAAACAAACAAACAGACAAACGCCGGCAAAACCATAACCTCCTTGGCCGAGGTAATAATCGAGACCAAGACCAGTACGAGATCACACAGTCCCGAGACTAGGAAAAAACCAAGACCTCTGAGGGTCGAGACTGAGACAAGACCGAGACAAGACCGAGTCCAAATGTCCAAATGAGTCTGAGTCGAGACCAAGACTCTTCCTGTATAAAAACAAAGTTTAGTTATGATACTTATTAGGTCCGACTCATCCCAAATAGCGAGGAGAAATGAAAAATGCACACCAGACAAAAGCTTGGGTCTCAAGAGGTTAAAAACAAGTCTCAAGTTTTCTCAGGCTGGATCTAGACGACATGACGGCTGCAGCGACCAATTCCAACCAGTCCTCAGTTTTCATCATTTCCCCACTGACGCACAACTCCGAGCGACATCATCATGTGATTAGAAGAGACGAGACGCCAAATTCAAGATGATTCCAAACAGTCTTCATTTCACCACTGATCACATTTACTTCAGTGGGTTTGATCAGTGTCTAGAACCTCACTGGAAGTTGTCGTCACATCTTTCCAAACGTCTTCCTGATTTGTGAAAAAGAGATTCTTAACCACGTCCAGTGTTTTTGTCATGAATAGTATTTAAACATGTTTCTTGTGTCGTTTCTGGTGCTTCTGAAACAGTGGAGATATTTAAATGGCGCTGAAGTGTGAGCCTGTGCCGCTGGTGTATTGTTTCCGTGTCTTGGATGAGTTGGACAGTGTGTGATGTGATGGAGCAGATATGTGGGACACTCATGTGACTGGGACGCCCCTCTCACATGTGTCTCCATAAATCAGGGTGCGCTCCCCCCCTTCATCCCCCGCTCCCTGCTCTCTTTACCCCCTCTTCTTCCTCTCCTTCTCGAGCTGCTGCCTTGTCTCGCTGCCGTCTCGTCTCCTCCTCCCTCCCTCCCTCCCTCTGTTTCTCTCTGTTTCTCTCTGTTTCTCGTGACGTAGCTGAAAGAAGCTGTTGCGTTCCATCACATTAGGGCAGCTCTTCATGTGCAGCACGACTGTGACACATGTTCTGTCCAGGATTCTGTTCAAGTTCACGTCATACTCACCAACAGCAGTCTGTATCATTCACTCATTCGTTTTTCAAAATAAAACCAAAAATAAGAAAATGAAAAAACAGCTGTTTTCTTCATTATTTGTCTCCAAAACCAAAATGAAAAAACGGATAATGATTCGGTTTTTGATTTTGTGTTTAAATGAACAATGGAAACACTTCCATGACTGCGATGCCGGACTTTTGTGCCACATACGGACTGAACCAGGACTGAACCAGGTCCGGGACCAGACCGTGACCAGACCAGGACCAGAGCGGGACTGAGACCGGGACCACACCGGGACTGAGACTGAGACCAGACCAGGACCAGACCAGGACCAGGACGGGACCAAACCGGGACCAGACCAGAGTGGGACTTAGACCGAGACCGGACCGAAACCAGACCGAAACCAGGCCGAAACTAGGCCGGGACCAGACCGGAACCAGACCGGAGGCTCAGAGACCATGGCAGGGCCGGAGCTCGAAGCTGAGGCTCAGAGTCAAAGCTCCGGTCTGGTTTAGTCCTGGTTTTAGACCTGGTTTAGTCCTGGTTTAGTCCTAGTTTACACCTGGTTTAGTCACCTGGTTTAGTCCTGGTTTAGTCCTAGTTTACACCTGGTTTAGTCCTGGTTTTAGACCTGGTTTAGTCCTGGTTTAGTCCTGCTTTAGTCCTGGTTTAGACCTGGTTTAGTCCTAGTTTACACCTGGTTTAGTCCTGGTTTAGTCCTAGTTTACACCTGGTTTAGTCCTGGTTTTAGACCTGGTTTAGACCTGGTTTAGTCCTAGTTTACACCTGGTTTAGTCCTGGTTTAGTCCTAGTTTACACCTGGTTTAGTCCTGGTTTAGTCCTAGTTTACACCTGGTTTAGTCCTGGTTTAGTCCTAGTTTACACCTGGTTTAGTCCTGGTTTTAGACCTGGTTTAGTCCTGGTTTAGTCCTGGTTTAGACCTGGTTTAGACCTGGTTTAGTCCTAGTTTACACCTGGTTTAGTCCTGGTTTTAGACCTGGTTTAGTCCTGACCTGGTTTAGTCCTTTGTTGTAGCCTATGAGTTCTGTTCTGTACACCACTCTTCTTCTGTTACGGTGACGATGCAGATCTCCCACACGTGTCCTGATTGTCCTTGACTGACGTGTCCTGACATGAGTCTTTGTGTCCTCAGACGCCGCGTCCCCCAGCGGCAGGCGGAGCTTCCCCCCTTCCTTCTGGGACAGTAACTACCCCTCCCCTCAGCCCCGGCCGCACTGTGACCCCGCCCCCTCGTACGCCGTGGACCCGTACGCCTCGGGACTGCACCCGGGCCTGTCCCACCCGCACCCGCACGCCCACCCGCACGCCCACCCGCACCCCCCGGAGAGCTGGGGCTACGCTCAGCCTCAGTACGGCCCCCCGAGGCCCCTGCACGAACTCTACTCCCCGTCGGCCCTCGAGCCGCACTACGGGCCCCTGCTGATGCCCGCCGTCAGGCCGCCGCACCTGCCCGCCATGCCCAGCCACTACGAGGTCAGCAAACTGGAGCCGCCCGGCACCTGGCCCAGCCTCCTGCCCGCGGGGGAGGTGGGACAGAGCCTCGCCCTCAACATGGACACAGGTGAGAGAACAGATTTCACACTGCACACGGGTACACACACACACTACCGGTCAAAAGCCCTCATTTTTCCAGTTATTTATTGCAATTCAAGTGCAAGTTTCAAGTCCACTAAAGAGCTTGAAATGGTCCAAAGGTAAAAACTGAACAGACAGAGGTGAAAAAAAGCATAATGACCCAAAACACAAGTCCAAGCTCTGCCAAAACTACCATATTTTCCAGGCTCTTAGTCGCTCTGGATTATAAGACGTCATTAAATGGTCTATTTTTGAACTTTTTTCACAAATAAACCGCGTGGGACTTTAAAAAGATGCCTGTACCTCACAGCCTTAACTAGGTTGCATGCTCCAGTTGAACCACTCCTTGGGCTTGTGTACAGCTGTGTCTCATTTTCATGCATGCACTACTGACTGCATACAGCAGGGGGCAAGTTTTTTTTTATTTTTATAAAGTGTCTATTAAAGGAAACCCAACAGTGTGATGGGTGAGTGGTTTTGTTTGTTTGTTCGTTCACGGTGACTCTGGGCTTTGTTCAGTTGTGGCGTGTAGGGAGGGTGTGTCTGTCACTGGATTGTCGGCGTGTTCGCAGTGACTCAGTTGTTCAGTCGTGTCTAGAAGCGGCACGTTGCACTCGCTTTTTCGGTTTGTTCCTCTGTTCTGTTCCTCGTCGGCGTGGAGTGATGAGTGTGTCTGTGGGTGTTTTTCGATGTGCGGCCTCTGTCTGCTCCGTGTGTGTTTGTGTGTTCTGTGTTTGTGGCTTTGTAGTTTACTGAAGTCGTGCTGGGACACCTGAGTGGATTCGTGTATGGGGCGCTCTGGATTGTGGCGCGCGGTCGTATTTTGATGGGGTTGGAGGTTTACGAGCGCGTCTAATGGCCCAGAAAATACGGTACCTTAGGAAAAAAGAACAAGATGATGAGTTTGAAAACCTGGAGTGTCCAGCAGGACAGTGTCCAGACTTAAACCCCATCGAGCTGGTTTGGGATGAATTGGACAGAAGAGTGAAGCAACATTTATGGAAACTTCTGCGACAGACTTGGGAAGAACTTTCTGAGCAATATTTGATTTCTATAGACGCATCAAGAATCTCGGACTTCCAGTCACTGCCCAATTCATACTGGGAAGGATTTTCCGAAAAAGTGAGCATCAAACCTCCATGTTTGTTTTCCCAGTTGGATGTGTTTATTGTCAAAGTCGAACTTTTCAAGTCTTTTGAACCATATCACTTTTGTTTCTGGTTCTGATATTGTCATATTTTAGTTTTGGGATTCGGACATCGTTAATTGTTGTGGTTGTTGGATCCTAACAGCAGAAAACGGCTCGAGAAATTTGTTTGCGAACTCCATAAATGCAAAAGTGAATCAGATGTGTGTGACTCAAACCTCCGTTCAAACTGTTTCTCTTCCCAACGGAATTGAAAAATAGTGAAAGGTGAAGGCGAAGGGCAGTGGGCTCACTTTTTCGGAAAATCCTTCCCAGTATGGATTGCGCAATGACCGGAAGTCCGAGATTCTTGATGTGTCTATTGTAAAAAGAACGAGTCACGAGTGTTCAGCTGTTTTATCTGCCAAAGGTGAACACTTTCATGAGTCAAAAGTTTAGAATACGTTTTGGTTTATAAATTCATTCCATGATTTCTTTTTCAGCTAAAATTACTTATTTGTTCTATGCTTTCATTTCAGAGTGTAATGGCACAACATACTGAATAATTTTCAGTCAAAAACTGGAAAAAGTGTGTTCTAAAAATGTTTTACCAGTCGTGTATTTATACTTAGAGACACAAACACAGCCAGGTGAAATTTTGGACAAAACTCTTCCAGGTTTTTGCTTTATAAAACTGAAATGCTGACTCCCCGTGTTTAGTCCTCAGGTCCCTCAGGTCCCTCTGGTCCCTCAGGTCCTCAGAGTGCAGATGGTTGGAGAGGGCAGGTGTGGCTGAGAAATGCCTTTTTGAAAGAAGAACTAGATTATCATGAGCTGTAGATGCTCTTTAGCACCAGGAGGACTGTTCTGTCTCCATGGAAAAAGAGAAGGTCTAAACACAGCTTACATAAATAAACCTGTAATATATCACAATTAAATCTAAATCACACTTTGGGTTGGCACAGTTATTACTTCACAAAGGATGCAGTTATTTACAGATTAGAATGTCCTCTAAAAAGAACTAAATACCCTGTGTTTTTAGGTGTTCATGCCACAGAAAACCAGACGAGACCAAGCGCCGGCTCTAAACTCTGGAACCACTGGCCTCTTAGTATCAGATTGGCTCAGACTCAAAACTTTTTTAAAAACCTCAGTGAAAACCCATCTTTTTGCACTGGCGTTTAAAACAAATGAAGATCCCCGCCTCCTCCTCTTTATGTTTTGTACATTTGTGCAGAACTTTAGGCTGCTTCATCTCTTGTAAATGCGCTGTAAAAATAAACACTTGAGCTGTACTTTAAAATGAAAAGTTTCAGGCACTCACGAGTAAATTTGGTGAGTTACTGAATGAACTGAACCAAACTCTGATGTTTGCAACGTGAAAATCACAATTGCAACGCATTTTCGTCCAAACCCTGCAACCCCAGACCTTAAACACTTTACTCGTACATGTTGACTGAAACGTGATCTGCTGCTGAACAAGAATCACGTGTATTTATGGACACAGAGGTCTAACTACAAGGTTAGCAGGTATCTTACATAACACACAGGAGATTTTGTTTCAGATTTATTTGTAATTAATCTTGCTGCACTGATTGGCTGTGTTCAATGAGGCCGAAGGGGCAGTGTGGGAGTCCGACCCAGGGCAGATACGGCTACAGAAAGGTGTTCTCCAAACTGTTTTATAAATGCAAACATATACTACTTATATCATTTTTTTCCCCACTTTTTATTGGGTCATTTTGCAGCGCTACGAAACAAAACTTAGACCACAACCCCATGGATCATGACCGAACGGGTTTAGGCTGAAGTAAAAAGTACCAAACCCTTTTAAACAACGACAGAATTCCAAGAAAGAAAAGCGGCGCATGAGCAGCAAGTTTGCATTTACAATTTCACTTACAACTTACTGTATATACACTGCCGGTCAAAGGTTTTAGAACACCACATGGTAGGGCTGGGTATCATTAAGAAGTTGCTGATACGATACCTCGATACACTAAGCTTTCGATTCAATACGATTCAATTTAAAAATAAAGGCTAAATCATGTCTGTGATACTGAAAGTCTTTGTTAAACCACTTCTTGTGCAAAGTTCATATGAAACACAAACATTTCAATCATCAAAACAGTGAAAATGTCAAATGTGTCACAAAAACAAGTTTCCTTCCACTAAAGAAGCAACAAAACTGTAGCTGTAACAAAATAATTTAGAAAAATGTATGAAAAAATACTCTTGGTGATACAGCAGCTCATGATATCAATACTGTATCATCACATTAAATTAAATGACATATAGATATTTCAATATTTTTGCACACCCCTAGTTTATTGTGTCACTACACTCTGAAATGAAAGCTTCATAAATAACTGGAAAAATGTGGGTGTTCTAAAACCTTTGCCCGGTAGTGCACCTTTACAAAACAAAAGCGAAGGTTTTGGGGACATTTAGACGTCTATAATACATAAACCATTGTCAAGTTTTTAGTGCACAAAGTTTGGCTTCAAATTTGTACATTTACAATGGTAATAGGCATGTAATAATTGTAATGTAAATGTAGTTTTGGTTCAGTTCTTTCCTTTGTACCATTTTAAGCTCTTCATTGGACTTGAATTGCAATTTTAAAAAAAAGAAAAAGTGTGGTGTTCTAAAACTTTTGACTCGTAGTGTATAAGAGACAAAATATTAATTAAAACAAACAAAATTTAATGCGTAATTGAGTCATTTCAGAGCTCTATATCTTTCAAAACTTTATATTTTGTTAGACTTTTAAAAAATAACCACTGTGATTGTCCCATTTACTGACCCGTCTTCTTATATAATTATGATAATATAAATATATGAAGTTATACACGCCTCGGTCACATCGCTCGTGGTCATCAGAAACTGCTAATTGCCTGGTTCTTCTTTCTTCATCCTCCTCCTCCTCCTCAGCCTCTCGTCTCTTGTTCTACCGCGGCTCTGGTCCAGGATGTTTTCCCCGAAGCCGCCATGACAACCCGCCTGACCATTGTTCTCTCTCCTCAGGCCTGCCGCAGCACAAGAAAGCCAAGGAGCTCTACTGGTTCTAACGAGGCCCGGACCACCAGCCAATTAGCCCCCCCCGCCGCCTCCTCCTCCTCCCCCTCCAGATGTGTGCGCCATGGAGATAAAGAGCCGCATTACGCCCGTGTCACCGGAACAGACTTGGCACAGCGCGGTGACCTGGTTGGAATGGACTCGTATTGGACAAACGGGGGGTTGGTTCATCTCATGGTGTTATTTCAAAGATGTTTTTTTTTTTTTCTTTGTTTTTGTTGTTGTTGTTTTGTTTCCCATGTGAATTTTATTGCTTTTCATGTTTTTGTTGTTCAGATTATTTATTGCATTTTTGTGAAAATTGGTGCCACTTCGCAGTAAGGCCGGGCTGTTTGAGCGTCCCCACACGATCGAGTATTTATTTATTATCTGTTGAGGATTATTGACTGTTTTAACTGGAGAATATTCTTGGAGTAAAGAAGGGTGAAGTACGGGCAGTATGAATGTTTGCGCTATGAAAAGTCTCTGGTTCAACTCTCATCTAGAGCAAAGATTTAGGTTCTTCTTTCTTTAATTTATCTTGAATCTAAACCAGGAGTGTCAAACTCATTTTGGTCCGGGGGTCGTATCCAACCGACTTTGATCCAAAAGTGTCCGGATCAGAAAACTCATGTCATATAAACCCCAAAAATAACAATAAGTTCAAATATTTGTGCAGAGAAACACAAATCTATTACAGAAATCTTTTTTTTAACTGATGAACTCTTTCTTTTACAAAATATTATATTATTATGAACAACCTGAAACTTAAAAAAAAAAAAAAAAAAAATCCAGTTTCAACACAATGTTTTAACATGAACTTGTCTGTAAACAGGAATAAGTCAATTTTTGTTGTAAAATCCTGCACTCGGCTCCACTTTTCTCATGTTGGACATTTTTCTGATGAGGGTGTCACGGTCAACAGTCAAAACGATCGTCCTTTAAGAGCGTTTGGAAAGAGACAAGTCTTCATTTGTGCTGCTCTGGAGACACTGTTATGCTCAGCACTGCAGAAAACGACCAATATTTTAATAGAAAATATGATGAGAATATTTTAGTAGAAAATCAGCCGAGGGCCAGATTAAAGGTCTTGGAGAGTCGGATCCGGCCCATGGGCCAGTTGTTTGACACCCCTGTTCTAAACGATCTTTAAATGTAATATTTGGGATGTTGCTGGATTTAAAGCCACAGTATGTCACTGTTAAGCAAAAAAAATGTCATCTTCACTCTCAAAGCCCGTAACAGCTTTCATATCCCAGGCTATTCTTCCCAGTAAGGACTAAACCTGGACTAAACCTGGACTAAAACCTGGACTAAAACAGTTCTAAAACAGGACAAAAACAGTCTAGAAATCTAAAAAATCAGATGAAGTTGCACAGTTTCATGAGAGTGACCCACCAGAGACCTTTTGCTCTGGTTCAACTCTCATCTAGAGCTAAGGTTAAGGTTCTTCTTTCTTTAATTTATCTTGAATCTAAACGATCTTTAAATGTAATATTTGGGATGTTGCTGGATTTAAAGCCACAGTATGTCACTGTTAAGCCAAAAAATGTCATCTTCACTCTCCAAGCCCATAGCAGCCTCCATATCCCAGGCTATTTTTCCCAGTAAGGACTAAACCTGGACTAAACCTGCACTAAAACAGGACTAAAACAGTCTAGAAGTCTAGAAAATGAGATTAAGTTGCACAGTTTTCATGAGAGTGAAGCACCAGGGCCCTTTTGCTCCGGTTCATCTCTCATCTAGAGTTTAGGGTTAAGGTTCTTCTTTTTTTAATCTATTTTTAATCTAAACTCTTTAATCTTTAATATCGTGGAGATTTTGCCCGGGTTTGGAACTGGTCTTGGTCAGGACTCCCTTAGCTGGAGCTGGAGGATTGTGTTGATGTTTTGTTTTGATGAGGGGAACAGAACGCCAGGAGAAATCCCACCCAGACACAGAAATCCATCTTTTTTGCTCAGTATGACGGCTCGTGCTGTTGAGGAAGGGCATCTGGTCAATTCATTTCATATAAGATAAATATTGCAAAAATAACAGGTGATTAATTGCTAAAATGGCTTTTACGTAGATTGGATTGAAGTAGATTTTGATTACATTTGCTCTCAAATCAAGATTTACAGGTCAAAGTCATTTGAACATCATTAAAGAGGGAGGATTACGCACAAACATTTTTTGAAGAACCATTGTTTCCTCATCAAAAACCTGCCTGAAGAGGTTTTAGAATCATCCACACACGTTTGAGTCATTTTGTGATCTCTCCTGGGCCCTCTCGATTCTGTACAAAGCCCCGCCCACAAGTCTACGTCACCCATGCACCAATAAGACAATTTTACATAAATATACAAAAACATGAGCAGGTCGCTGTGTGGGACCATCGTGGTGAAGAGGAGCTGAGCCAAAAGGTGAAGCTCTCGATTTACCGTCAGTCTTCGTTCCTCCCCTCACCTTTGGTCACGAGCTCTGGGTGACGACCGAAAGTACGAGAGGAAATGAGTTTCGTCCGCAGGGCGGCCGGGCGCTCGGTCACAGATCTGTTCTGATGCCTCCTGGACGTCTCCCTCAGGAGGAGCACGTCCCACCGTAAGTCCTGGTTTAGACCTGGTTTAGACCTGGTTTTAGTCCTGGTTTAGACCTGGTTTAGACCTGCTTTTAGTCCTGGTTTAGACCTGGTTTAGACCTGGTATAGACCTGGTTAAGATCTAGTTTAGACCTGGTTTAGACCTAGTTTTAGTCCTGGTTTTAGACCTGGTTTAGACCTGGTTTAGACCTGGTTTTAGTCCTGGTTTAGACCTGGTTTTAGTCCTGGTTTAGACCTGGTTTTAGTCCTGGTTTAGTCTTGGTTTAGACCTAGTTTAGATCTAGTTAGACCTGCTTTTAGTCCTGGTTTAGACCTGGTTTAGACCTGGTTTTAGTCCTGGTTTAGACTGGTTTAGACCTGGTTTAGACCTGGTTTTAGTCCTGGTTTAGACCTGGTTTAGACCTGTTTTTAGTCCTGGTTTAGACCTGGTTTTAGACCTGGTTTAGACCTGGTTTAGTTTTTAGACCTGGTTTAGACCCTGTTTAGTCTGGTTTAGACCTGTTTTAGACCTGGTTTAGACCTGGTTTTTCCTGTTTAGACCTGGTTTTAGTCCTGGTTTAGACCTGGTTTAGTCCTGGTTTAGTCCTTGGTTTAGACCTGGTTTTAGATCTAGTTAGACCTGCTTTTTAGTCCTGGTTTAGACCTGGTTTAGACCTGGTTTAGACCTGGTTTTAGACCTGGTTTAGACCTGGTTTTAGACCTGGTTTAGACCTGGTTTAGACTGGTTTTTAGTCCTGGTTTAGACCTGGTTTTAGACCTGGTTTTAGTCTGGTTTTCTGGTTTAGACCTGGTTAGACCTAGTTTAGACCTGGTTTTAGTCCTAGTTTGGACCTGGTTTTAGTCTGGTTTAGACCTGGTTTAGACCTGGTTTTAGTCCTGGTTCACCTTTAGACCTGTTTAGACCTGGTTTTTGGTTTAGACCTGGTTTTAGTCCTGGTTTAGACCTGGTTTAGATCTAGTTTAGACCTGGTTTAGTCCTGGTTTAGATCTAGTTCAGACCTGGTTTAGTCCTGGTTTTTCCTGGTTCAGACCTGGTTTAGATCTAGTTCAGACCTGGTTTAGATCTAGTTCAGACCTGGTTTAGATCTAGTTCAGACCTGGTTAATATACCATTTTTAAAACAATATAAGATGATCTAATTCTGCTTTGTGTTTGCAGAAATGAAGTCCTCCTCTTTAAGACGCACTTGCTTTAATTAGTCCCATTTTGACTCAGCCTCAGTAAAGTAAACAGAAGCAGTGAACACGTATCTCAGGCAGTGAATGAAATAACGAACTTCTCCGTGTACAGTGTCGAGCGGCTCTTCTGGCTCGTGCGGACGCGTCGGTCACAGCTGATTAGAAGGTCCGTTGTGAAGGACCTGCTCCGTCCATAATGAGCCTGTGTGTCCGAGCCTTTTACTCTGCCGTGAATGAGGCTCTAATGACCGTCTTCCCTCCGCGCTCACGCCTCCCCGCGCCGTCAGAGCACGAGCTGAAACCTCATCTGCTGTCATCAAAACGCAATTGTCGAATGTTTTGTAACAAGACTTCATTTTGTCAAGTATGTTTTTTAAATGAAGGTTTATGAGTGAAGTGGACAGGTGATTATAGCCACGATTTAATGGACCATTGCACGATTTATTTTCAGTGTCGGGAAGGTGACTTTTAAAATGTAATCCCCTACAGATTACAGATTACACACCCCAAAATGTAGTTTGTAACAGAATCCATTAAATTTCTTAAAGTGAGTAATGTAATCTGAATACTTTGGATTATTTTGGATTTGTTGTAGAGAAACAAAAACGAGGAAATCTTCACCTAAGATGTTTTGTTTGATAAAAGAAAATAAAAAGTCCAGACTTTACTGAACCAAATTAAAAATATTATTGATAGAAGAAGAAGAAACACGTCCACACAGCAGGATTTAGTCCTGTTAAATCCTGGTTTAGTCCTGGTTTAGTTCTGTTTTAGTCCTGGTTTAGTGCTGGTTTAGACCTGGTTTAGATCTAGTTTTAGCTCTAGTTTAGACCTAGTTTTAGTCCTGGTTTAGAACCTGGTTTTAGACCTGACTTTAGTCCTGGTTTAGTCCTGGTTTAGACCTTGTTTTAGTCCTGGTTTAGACCTGGTCTAGACATAGTTTAGATCTGGTTTTAGTTCTGGTTTAGACCTGGTTTAGACCTGGTTTTAGTCCTGACTTTAGACCTGGTTTAGACCTGGTTTAGTCCTCGTTGAGTCCTGGTTTATACCTGGTTTAGTCCTGGTTTAGACCTGGTTTAGACCTGGTTTAGTTTCTGGCAATGAGTGGAATTACCAAAAAAATAAATAAAAATAAAAAAGGGGGATTTAGCCCAAAATTTGAAAACAGTAAAATCCCGTCTGTGTAATCCATTTATTTCAACAAAGTAACTGTAATCCAATTACCACTCACTGAAACAGTAACTGTAACTGAATACAGTTACTCATAATTTGTACTCTGATTACTCTGGTACATGTAATCTGTTACTCCTCAACACTGTTTATTTTGTACTAATAAAAACTTGGGGCAGGTTAAACAGGATCATTTATTTATCACAAA